GGGGAGCGGTGGCCCACTGTGGCACAGAGTCACGCGGTGAAATGAACTGGAGAAGGCGGCCTGCGCCTTCACCCGGATGGCCTGAGCCGGTTTTCCTGGGCAGGCCGGCATCCTGAGAAGGTGGTGATGGCCAGGTAAGCAAACAAAGCGGCAGGATGTGCTCCCTGACCCTCAGGATCCCGGCGGGCTGCTCGCCTCTCTGCCGCCGGGCCCGGGCGCGGGGGTCATTCCAGCTCTCGTGCTTTCTGAAGCCACCCCAGACCCTCAGCTGGGAGTCGGCTGCCAGGACCAGCCATCAAACCCGAGGTCAGAAGAAGAACTAATGGCTGGATGTGACCCAGGTGGGAGCCTTGGGCCTCTCTGCTCAGGCCGGGAAACTGGGACGGCAGCCAGGCCTCCGTCAGGTGGCACGTGGGCCCGGGGGCAGCTCCTGCTGCAGACCCGGCAGGAGGGGCCTCAGCATGGCCTTTGGTCTCCTCTGTTGCCAGGTGGGCCCGTCGCCCTGGACACTGGTCTGGACTCGAGCCACCGGCCCCTGGAGAAGGCCCTGCCCACCCTGGGGTCTGCGAGTGCAGCCATGTGGGTGTCGGGATTTCAGGAGGCTCCGGCCAAGCGCTCCTGAGAGCGTCCCAGAGCCCCTCCATCTGCTTCTCCCGCAGAGCAGGGACCTCCCTTTGTCTGGCCGGATTACACCAGATGAGATGCGCTCAGGGCTGATTCATGACTCTGGTCAAGGATTTGTTGAATGACAGGGGAAACGGAAGGGAGGACATCGTAGAATTTTGGCGGAACCTGAAAGATCTAATTGCTTTGTTTTATGGGCACTAAACCCAGCAGCCAGAGAGGGGAACTGGCCTGGCCACGATCATGCAGGTGTTAACACAAGGACCGTCACATTGCAGCAGCCTGAAGGGCAGGGGCCTTCGTTAGCTTCCAGCGAGGGTGGAGGCACGTGTGGCATGTAGTAGTAGGTGTGACGGAGGGGGTGGGAGGGTGTGGCCGTTCTGACGCAGCCACGCCCTTCTCAGTGCCTGCAGCGCGCACCCACCGCTGCTGTCTGCCCGGGGCCTCCCTGGGGGAGGAGGTCCGGGCCCCGCCCCATCCACCTTGGTTTCGCCGTGCGCCTTGCTCTGGTTGGTGGGGCGTGACTGCGAGTGGCCCGGGGCCTGTTCGGGCAGAAGCAGTTAGAGGCGGCCCCCAGTACCCGCAGCTGCTGCCCTGCTCCCCTCTGCCGTCCGGACTGTATCGCCTGGATGGGGCGCTGACTTGGGATTGAAGAAAACGCCCAGAGCAGACCCACAGGCGAGGGGCAGCCACCAGGCACACGAGGCAGACATGAGCCTTTGTTGTTGTAAGTCTGGAGACCTTGAGGATGTCCTGCAGCCACCAGCCTGAGGGGCAGAGTTGGTGTGTAGTGTCTGCATGCTGAATGAACAGTGGCATCAGTGACAAAGCACATCACCCCATTTCCTTTCTGTGCCTCGAGACACTGGTGTTCAAGCTCAGCGGGGGTCTCGGGGCAAGAGGAATCTAACTGAGAGGAATCTGGGCCTGGGCGGGGACACCGAGGGTGCGGGCCATGTTGGGACCCAGCCGGGGCGAAGCTGCCCCTCGCGAAGCTGGTGCAGACCTGGGGCCTCAGTGATTCGGACCGCCGAGGGTGTGGCCCCGCTGCCCTGCTCCCGGCAGCGCCAGGGCCCGCGGCAAGTGGGGAAAGCGAAGGCATTTTCTCACCTGGGGGAGACTGAAAGGAGCGTAGTGAAGCCATGTGTCGTGTGTGGGGCTGAGGCCCGTGTCCTGCCCTGCCGTCCCTGCTCGCGTGGGTCCTTCTGTCCTCTCCAGAGCCATCCTGTTCTCATCTGCAAACTAGCAAACAGGACTTGCCGGAGTATGTAATAAAAAGGCATTTTTTTTGAGTTGAAAAAAGTCAAAAGGAATTGCTGTGAACAAAACCTCATTTCAAACACACAGCCAAGTACTCGTTGCGTCTGTGTGTCTGAGTGATGTGCAGAGATGAAACAGCGTTCTGACTTCACAAACTTGTGTTTTCAGTCCCTCATCTCTGCACCGAGCAAAGCTGGGTTTGGTTCCAGGCAAAGCATCATCCTGGTGCCATCTCTGCTCGACCCAGTGACTCTGCTCACCTGAGACAACCAGCAACCTGGCAGGTCAGGGTGTCAACTTGAGACCCCCAGGTTGAGACACTGCAGGTCTCAAGTCAGGTGTCATGGTCGCCGAGCGGGTGGATGATTACAGAGGCACAGAGGAAACCAGCGCCCGAGGCTGAAACCCAAGGCGAGAAACCGGATTCCTCGGTCACTGGCCTTCGACTGGGCTGCGGTCCTCAGATCCGACCTGTCTTCCTCTGAGCAGCGGGAGAACCACTTTCTAGGACGACTGCTCTGCCCAAAGGGACTGTCCACGAAAATAAATGCGCAGCCTAAAAGTTGACAGTTACGTTTTATTTGGCAAGAGGACTCGAGCCGGGATGACAGCCTCTGAGGTGGCTCTGAGGGACTGCCCCGAAGAGGTAGGGGAGGAGCTGGGATATATAGGAGCTTTACAGCAAAGACCAGGTAGTTGGAACAATAAAAGCTTACTTGTTATCTAAAGAGAATCAGGCATCTCAAGTTAAAGAATTTAGTGCTTTTCTCTTTCTGGGAGGAAGCAAACATTTGGGCTCATTGAATTCATTCCTTTGACAAGCACCTCGCTATCCAGGGCCAGTAATCCTGTCCTTTCTTATTCTGAGTCCCCTCAGAGGACACCACTGTGAGTGGGGGGTGGCAGCAGCCGCTGATGACTTGATGGCTTCAGCATTCCTTGTTTACTGATATGGTTTGCAGTGTTTTTCATTCACAGGACTTATTTTAAATTATCTGAATTTATGACCCTATTGAAGGGTTGCCATGTACAAGCTGAGTTTCGCTATCGCCAGCTTCCTCATGTCTTCACAAACAGGCCCTTTCAAAGAACAAGAACCTCCTGCCGGGGAGGGAGGGGGCGTGTTTGTGGCCCCGAGCTTGCGATTTGACCACCAGTTTTAGGGTTCAGCAGAGGAAATCAGAGTTTATTACAGAATGCTGTGTAAGTTCTATGAATAAAAAAGACGTGTGGGAAGCACAGAATGATAATTTCATGTTTCAACCGCAATTTTGACGCTGAAATCAGTGATACTCTCAGTAGAAAAAAATGTGCTGAGATGGGCGGGGCAGCCTCGGGCTGGAACTGTGTCCCTTTCAGGGCGATAGCAATCATCCCATTCACATCGCCCCTCCCCTTGCAGCAACCGCAGAAGGGCATCTGACTCACACATCAAAATGCAGCCTCCTTTACGTTTGGCCTTCAACCTCAGTCTGTTGCTACAACACTTTCTTGCAGAGCATTTTGTGAAACATAGGGCGGTGGGGGAGGTGGTCCTTCCGCCTTCCTCCAGGGCAGAGCTGCTTGCAGATTTGAGTTTTGTTCTGCATCCTTCCTCTGGTCCAGCTTTTCCCAACGTTAAGGGTCCAGACTGAAGGCTCCCCTCCCCACAGGGGGTACATCTCCCCCTCCTCTGCCTGTCCCTGTCTGTAATGCAGCACTTTGGGGCCCGGTGTTATTTTCCTGGTGAAACAAGTCCTTGAAGACAGGACCACGCCTGGCCACTTAGCGTCCTTCACAGAGCCAGGCCAGCGACAAGAGGCTGGAACTGCCTCCCTCGGGGTGGACTCAAGCGCTGGTGGGGGTGGTACAGGGCTGGCTGTGCTATGCCAGCACCTCGTGTTACCTGCAAGCCAGGGAGCTGGAGGGTGAGTGAGGCTGATCATGCCAGAACCTGCACTGTGGCCTCTGGGGCTCTGTGGGGGCAGCGTCCACTGTAATCTCCGGGCAGCTGCAGTTTTTCTGAGGCCCCAGTGAGGGCTGGCTTAATCCGATCCACGGGGAAGAGGTGTGATGGTTAATTTTACACATCAACTTAGCTGGGCTCTGATGCTTATGCATTGGTCAAACACCAGACTGGATGTTGCTGTGAAGGTGTGTTTTCGATGTGCTGAACGGTTAACAATTAAATCGGTGGACTTTGACTAAAGCTAATTGCCCTCCAGAACAGGGTAGACCTCACCCTATCAGCTGAAGGTCCCAAGAACAAACACAGCAGTTTCCCTGAGAAGGAATTTGGCCTCAAGGCTGCCACACAGAAACCCTGCCTGAGTGGCCAGCCTGCTGCTCTGCAGAGCTCAGGCTAAAGACGGCGGATCGACTCCTGCCTGGACTGCAGGCCCGTGCCTGCCCTCCAGATTCCAAACTTACCAGCCCTGCGATCACGTGAGCCGAGTCCTTAAAACGAAACCCCCTTCTCTCTGTACGTAGCCTATTGTGTGTTTCTCTAGAGAACGCTGACCGATGAAGCAGGGATCGCAGGCTCAAGGCCGCCTTTTAATTCATCAGGGCCGCACCTGCCCCTGCACTGGCCGCCACCGCCCCGCTCGCCAGCCGTCTTCCCCGAAGCCTCTGCCCTCAGAGCCACTCCTCCTCACGCCCGTTCCAGCTCTTTCTACCCGGATCTCTCCCTCTGTGAGGCCGGTTCCCCAGTGTCCGTGCCAGCCCTCGGACCTCAGAGCCAACCTTGTGAAGAATCATGAGCCATTCAGAAGCACGCTGCCCAGTATAAAATTTATTATAAAACTTCAGCAAATATAAATATCCAGGCGCCGTTTGGCGTGGAGATCACAGCACAGGAAAGACCACAGCCACGCGCTCGCTGGCGGGAGGATGTCGGAGGCCCGCGTGCAGCCTGCCCTTGGGGAATTGCCCGCCTTCCTTCTGAACGGGTGTTACAGAAACAACCTAAATTTGCAGAAGAAACTTTTTTAAAAACCCCGCGACATACAAACACAAAACCCGGCTCCCAGGTCATCACTTGACGCCTGCCCGACTGGGACCGTCCGCGAGCCCTCGGTCGGTCCGCAGGGCTTTGCTGTAACCGGTAAGTCTCTGATTCTGGCACCACCTGTAATTCTGACATTTGAAACAGAGAAGCATTAAGAAATGGGTTTAAATTGGAACACTCACTTGTAAATAACTGAGAAAGATAAAACATAAAATATGAAAATTCTCTCCTCCAGCACATGAGGCTGAAAGGGACAGAGCACCGCAGCAGGGAGTCCAGAGGCGAGGTCCCCACTCGGGACGGAGCCCAGCTCCCCCGGCTGGGCTGGCGCCCCCTGGAGCAACACCCGGTCTGGTCGGGGCCCCGGGGCCCCTGCAGAGAAAGGGTCTGGGTTGGAGCCCAGAGCTCATCCCGCCTCCAGGTGGGAAGGGGCCTCCAGGTAGGGGGAGGCGGGCGGTGGGCATCCGCTGTGGGGGGTCAGATGTTCAGTTCTTCTTCCTCCCTTCTGGGCCTGTCTTCTTAGACGAGGCTCCGCCCGGCCAGGGGCAGCACGTTGGGTGGGCAGCGGCCTGCGGGGCAGGGCACCCGAGGCCCGGCTTCATACCTCCCCCTCCGCGAGAGCATATCTGTGTGCACCTAGGGATGTGCTCGCACACACCAGTCACACACACATGCACATGCAGTCATGTCGAAGAGCCCGCAACACGGTTTTCCTCCCTCAGGCTTCCATCTGCCTCGCTGGTGCTGGAGACGGTAGCTCCCGTGCCCGGGAAGCAGCCGACGCGGCTCACAGGTTGGATCGGGAGCAGGTCCGGCAGCACTGCTGGCTGTAGAAGTGGTGGCTGCACACCCCGTGCTGGGGCACCAGGGAGCACCAGGGGAAGCGGTCCTCGCAGAAGGCACCTGAAAGCCAGCACCCCCGTCAGTCCCCTTCCCGTGTCTGCCGCCCCGGCTAGTGACTCGGGCAAAGCGAGGTATATCCGTCATCGCCCTGAAGCTGCCGATGGGGGGCTGTGGCGTCGTGCTGACTTCACAGGACCCTTCTTGGAAGGCCCCTGCAAAGCTGACACTGTCTCCTTCTTCGCTAAAGCCACCCACGTAACCACCCGCCGCCCGAGACAACGGCCCTCTGCGGCCTGGACTCCAACTGTCGCGTCCCTGATGGAGCCCGACCACTCACGCTCCTCCAGCTCCGTTTTCTCTTCCAGAAACCTCGGCAGGCAGACAGGCCTGGCCCCTGCAAACAGCCCAGGCACTGAGGGCGTGTGCACAGGGACGGCGCTTGGAGAGCACCCCAAGAACGAACTTGGGCAAAGGCTGCTCTGCTTCAAACTGCCCCCTCTGAGTGGAGTGGGCGTGGGCAGCACTGACCTGCAACGGCAGCCACGCCTGCCTAAAGCCAGCCCGACCTCACGGCCTCCCGTGCTGTGTCTGGGGAGGCGTGAGACGCGAGGGTCTGCTCTGTGGGCCACTTCGGGGGAAAACTGGAGGTGAAGCGGGGTCCAGGGTAGCGGACACGAGACCCTCTGGCCAGTGGGCACCTCTCTGCACAGCCCTCTTAAGAACCGCCCCAGAAACGTGGCAGCCCCACCCGAAATGCCAAGGGCAAGCCGACACTCACCTCGCTTCTCTGCGATGGGGCAGAAGTGAGTGCTGCAGGCCTGGGAGGCCGCGGGCTTCTGGTGCACGGGGCAGCCCGAGGCCGGCCGGCCGCCCACCAGGCACTGCACGGACCGCGTCTGCACGCCGCCCCCACAGCTGGCCGTGCACTGCGGAAACAAGCGACGGTCACCCTGGGCCCCCTCGGCCTCTGGCCACCCCTCGCCTCCGAGCTGCCCTCTCCACCACTCAAGGGGGCCTCTCCCTGCGACTGTGGGGCGCTGACCAGATTCTGGATTAATCCCAGGTATGGACACTGAGTGTTTTTGAGTCATCAAGGGTCGGATGGACCCCAAAAGTGACACATATCTGGGGATACAGGCTGTGGGTCTGGAATCGTGGAACGCCATCACCAAGCCAGGCTTTCCAGCGCCTGGACTGGGAAAGCTGGACAGGCCGAGTCCCGCAGAGACATGTCGACACTAAGCCCTTTCTGATCCCACGCGCAGGGACCCCGGGTGCCTGGAGGTGGCCACTTGCCCGGCTCATTCACACCCTCTGGGGAGCGCTGTTTCCTGAGGCCGAGGCCCCCACACACTGAGGCATGGAGCCCAGTCAGACCCCCTCTCATCAACTGGCCAGATGCACACCCCACAGGCCACAGCAGCGGGCCCCTCTGAGGTCCCCCGAGGGCAAGAAACCTGGAGGGACCCAAACCCACAGCAATTCATCTGCCCCCAAAGAAAGCTACTCAGGGTCTAGGCTGAATCAGGGCAATTGTGCCCCCAACAAGGCTGCTGGCTCAAGAATGTTAAGAATGTACACAAGCACCCGATGCACAAGCACAGTGGATACCCTGGTGCATGGGGGAGGGCGTAAGCTAAAGGCTTGCCTAAAGATAAGAGCCCCGTGAGTCTCTCCCTTTATTTATCACCTTCTGTGGACCTTGGTGGTGCGTCTTTAAGTCTGGAATTTCAGCCACTCTAACTTCTCCCAGAGACGAAACGTCTACTCAGCTTAGAATGGGATAACACAGACCTCAGCGGCTGTATCCCTTACGACTTCTACTCTAAACATAAACGGCGCTGTGCACTGTGTACAACGGCCAAGACATGGAGACAACCCACATGTCCATCGACAGATGACTGGATAAGGATGACTGGATATATGTGTATCCACACAATGGAATACTACTCAGCCATAAAAATTATATAATGCCATATGCAGCAACATGGATGGACTTGGAGACCATCGTTCCAAATGAAGCCAGAAAAAGAAAGACAAATCCATATGATATTACTTACATGTGGAATCTCAGAAAAAGACACAACGCACTTATTTGTAAAACAGAAACAGAGTCACAGACACAGAGAACAAACTTACGGTTAGCAAGGACAAAAGGGCAGGGAGGGACAAATTGGAAATCGAAATTGGCACCTCTTGGGGAGGGATGGAAATGTTAGGCATCTTGACTGTGGTGTTTTCATTGGTGTAGACCTTTATCAGAATTCATCCAATTGAACCTCTGAAATATGTGTAGTTTACTGAACAGTAGTTACACCAAAATAAAGTTGTTTAAAAAAATAAATTATGCAATGAATTTTTGTACAAATTCAGCTGGTCCCAGATTCGGACTCCCTCCAACCCAGGCGGCACGTACGGCGACCTTATCCATCGACGTCAACCAGACGGCTTTTTGTTTCCGGGCACCCTCATAATTAGAAGAGGGTGAGGGCACATTATTAGAGGTGGGATCAAGGGTGCAGGTCTGTGATGGACTGACTGCAATCACCCAGACCAAGCCTGCTCTAGTCTCCATGTGTTCTGCGCGTATCTGTGTGTCCGTCTGTGTCTGTGTGTGTTCACGTGCACGCCCATATGTGTGGGTCTGTGCGTGTGCACACGTGTGTTCGATACAGCATCACAGCCATAGTTGCTGAGGAAGAAAACCCTGCTGATCGGCTATGACGTGGCTCCTTGACTCTCAGAGCCCACGGGTCCCCAGGTCAACGTGTGCTCGGGCCTGGTGAGGACCCCGGAACAAGCCAGGAACCCCACCCTCCAGCCCTGAGGACACACCAGGTCTCTGTCACGTAGAGTCAGATAGTCCAGCAGGTGTTCAAACTTAGGACTTTCCAAGACCAAGTTAGAACGTGAGCCCGCGACGCTAAGCCCGAACGACCCAGGTGAGTGAAGTGGGTCCTGCCGGGCAACGCACCATGAACTGTGCACCACCGTGGGGATGAGCAGGGCCACTGAGACCCCAGGAAGGCTGCGGGCCCAATAACAGAGCCGGCCATCTTCCCATTGTTACCGGAATAACCCGTCCGGGGCAAAGCTGAGTCAGGCACTGGCCGTGTGTGTCTGCCCCACAATTTCCCACAGCTGGAGGGCACAGAGCCGCAGGTACAAGAGTTCCTGACAAACATCGCCTTTGAGTTATTACTCCCCAAAGTTACGGACTCGGAACCTAACGGACGAGTCACATTGGATAAGATCTTCAAGCAGCTTATGTTAAAAATGCCTTACTAGACAGACAGCTGGACTATTGCAGGCTGATGAAAGCTATGCCAGATGTATTTTTAGGAGCTTTAGGTTTTGGTTTAAATGAAGTAATGGTAAACCTGGTTTTTCTTTTCTAGACTTGCCTTACGTCTCTGAATTGAGCAGAGGGGACTGAACCCTAGCCTGATTCAGTTCCAGGAGCCTCAGTCTCCCCGTTGGCAGGGGGACAGTGGTCTCGGGGACCACCTCTATCTGTCTCTGGTCCACACTTCTCAAGAGATGGAGAAAGGGAAGCTTCTGCCCCAGAAACAACTCAGCCCAGCTTCTGGGTCATCCGTCCCCTCCTCTTGCTGGAAAGCCTGCTCTCTGCACCCAGAAGGAAACCAAAGGGCAAAGTGTGTCGCCAGTGATACTTTTTGATCTACTTAAAGTAGCAAACGCTTGAAAAGGATGTAATTGCAATGTCAATGTCCCCTGCTCCAATATTTTAAATAACAATTTCTAATTTAAATGCCATCTGGGGAAGGAGTCATATGTTTCTAAACTGAAAAGCTGTATCCAGTTCGAAGACAAGCGGAGCAGGAGCAGCCCAGAGGGCAGCGTGGGGAGGAAGTTAACCACCTGCTGCCCCCCAGCACGTGGACCCCACTCCCATTGGAACCTGAAGCACTGAGCAGCGGCTCCTTCCTCCCACCCTGCCAGGCCTTGCAGCCCCCTACCTGAGACCAGGGCGAGGCAAACCAGCTGGCCCGCGGGGGGCCTGCGGCAGCCAACAGGGGGTGCCTGGGGCAGGGAAACGGGGCGCAGACGCGTTCCAGCTGCAGGCTGGGCTGCGGCAGGTGCAAGCACTTCTTCGAGGCCAGCTCTCGGTACTTCCCAGAAACGTACTTCTCAACACATTTTAAGAATCTTGTCTGTGTTCCTCTTTCACACGTAACAGAGCACTAAAAAGACGAGCAAAGATGTGAGTGATCTCTACAAAACTATTGAGTCAAAATGCTGCCCGATTCTATCTGCTGGAACATTTATATGAACATTCAGTGGCATTCCAAATTCTGCTGAGTGGGACCTGGGCATTTTAAAAAGGTGTTACAGTCTCTGCCCTAAAAAAGGCAGACCTCGAGGTCACAGCGGCCTTGTGCTGGGCCGTGAGCTGAGGCAGGGAGATCAGAAACTGTGAAGGGGTCATTTCGGAGCTGCCACTCCGCTGGAAGTTAAAATGTTGGGCTGTACCTGATATTAGAATGCCCTGAAATCTAACACCCAAGGACACTGTTGGGCCACCAGGCAGGCTTGGAGGTCCTAGGGAAGGTCCTGGGAAGGTCCCGGGGCCCGGCCTGGCTGCCTTGGGCTGAGATGTCTTCAGGTTGCTGGGGGACAATACCTGCCAGGTCTGGCCTCACACGCATGCTCAGATTTGGCTTCGGGTGTGCCCTGTGGACGGCTCTCGGGCTGGGGCTGCAGTTAGAGAGAAGCACTGAGGTGTGTGCGTGTGTGCGTGTGCGCATGTGTGCGTGTGTGCATGTGTGTGTCCGCATGTGTTACATACTCAGGGCAAGGACTTTCTATCTGGGCACCTCCCAGATGCTACGCAGCCCAGGTTGCTTCCTTCCTAAGGATTCAGCTCTGGGGATACACATAGAAAGACGGCTTTTAATGACAGTCCCAATCAGAGCACCTACCTGGGACCAGTGCACCCACCTGGGACCAGTGCTCCCACCTGGGACCAGTGCTCCTACCTGGGACCAGTGCTCCCACCTGGGGCCAGTGCACTCACCTGGGACCAGGCGGACACAAGCCACTGCAGCTTCTTGTGTTTGTGGCAGCGCCTGAGCAGACAGGCCTCATGTGTCCTGGGCTTGGGCTCCGAGGCGCAGACGGCGTCGGGCAGCAGCTGCGCCCTGGCCGAGGGGCTGGTGCTCTTACAGGCCACGGACCTCTTCCTCCACCCCTTCCCGCAGGTTCGTGAGCACTGCGCAGGGAGAGATCAGCCAGGCGTGGATCAGCTCGGGCTCGGGGTCCCGGGCCACCGGCCCCACAGGCCCAGTGCGGATCCGCAGGGGGAGCCCGG